AAAGACAGAAAATAGCATACAAAAGCAGAAAAAAGGCATGGGAAAAGCAGGATAAACTCAGGGACAAGGCGGAAAAGAAAAAGCAGGTAAAAAAGGGCAAGAATAGCAAAGGGGAAAGGTAGGCAAGGGTAAAAAGACAACCCGAAAAAACAAGGCGCAAAAAAGGCAGAAGAAAACAGAATGCGATGCTCAAGCCACTTCGGGCTCATATCCCCACCCTCGGCGGCAACAGTCATCCCCAGTGGCGGTGTCGCTCTCTCTCTCGCCGAAGACCGTCTGTTTTCAAGACGGCCGTCAGGCGCGGGAGGGACCTAGCCCCCCGGACCGAGCACCCTTCCAGGCTTCGGCTCCCCGGGGAGCCTCGGCGCCATCGCCCCGCCCAGCCGACAGCAACGTCCGCTGGTGGACCAGGGGCGGGCGGTCAATCCCCACCCCCACCCCATCCAAGGATGGACAAGGTTGGATGGGCGGGAGGGAGGAAGGGAGGGAGGGAAGGGGGTCCTGTAGGAACTTGAAGAAGCGGGGGCCTAGATCTCGGGCTGCTCCTCATCGGCGGAAACGCCCCCGGCAGACACGCGGCGGCTGACCCGGAAGTCGGACTGCTTGACCCTCTTGCCGTACTTTAGCTCGTGGGCCGACTTGGTGCGTCGGGCCCGGAGCGCGGGCTCCTCGCCGCCGCCGGCGACGTCCCTGCCGCGGAGGCTGAGAGGCTTGATGTCCTTGAAGGTGGTGCGAAGGTCGCCCTAGACGGGGATGTGCGAGGCCTTGAGCAGGTCTGGGTTCAGCCTGCGGGCTTGCAGCTCGGCGCCCTCGTCGGCCTCCTCGTCGGCTGCGACGTCCCGCTGCAGGACCGGGCGGGCCGTCACGCTGCGGAAGCCGCCACCGATCTTGATGACCTGGAAGCGGGGCTGGAGCTGCTGCTGGTCACCGAGGGGTGCGGCCGTGACCTGGGTCGCCACGGCCGCCAGGAGAGCCACGGCGGCGGCGTTGGCGGAGAAGTGTCTTTTTTTGTAGGGCGAAACGCCCAAGGAAAGAAGGGAACAAAGGGAAAGACAAAAGGAAAAGACGAGAAAAGGAGAAGGCGACAAGGTACACCAGAAGATGGTTGGTGATGGAGAGAAGGGGAAATTACCGGATGAGCACGGCGGCCAGCTCGTGTATTTATGCCAAACCGTCGCCCGACATAGTCGGCAAAACATCACCAACGCCGTGCTGTCTTGGAGCTCCGATCAT